GGCTGCATTGATTGGCTGGCCCCTTGACCAATCGCTGGTTCAATAGGGATGGGCCTGAGTTGATTGGCTCAGACCTTGGTCGCTCACTGCAAAGCGAGGTGGGGAGCTGAGTGGGGATGGGGGTTGGAGGTGACGTGGGTAGGAGTCCTCACGGGGTCTGGGGGTACTCAGGGTGGGGGCAGCATCCTCTCCACCACACAGGAGCTTTCAAATTCTTTGTGATGACTCCAATCCTGCTTCCTGCCCAGGGGGATCCTGGGGACCCTAGACTCCTTTGATGGCGACCAGCCCTGCCCTTCTTATAGGGCCTGCCCCGCCCCCTTCCTGCTCTGCAGACTTTCTCCCATTTCTGTGCCGGCCGGCCCCATGGTGGTCAGGGTGCAATCCTCAGGTCAAGCCACCAGCTTCAGTGCCTGTGTGTCCGGAGTGGGCTACGTATCCATCGCTAGCCTCTGAGCTGAGGAGGGATGTCTAGTGCAACAAACACAGCTGCTGAGAAACCCTGCAGGGGAGGCAGTTCTGGGGGTGCCCTTCTCACTGTTTCCAAGAGCTCCCAGCTGGCTCGCTGCCTCCTGTCTTCCTTGGCTGTGGTCTTTCCTGCCACTGCATCCAGATGAACCTGTCCTCGCCTGCTCTGACATCTGTTCCTTCATGGCTGGTGGCAGAGTCACACCTGGATCTGTCTTTCCTGTGGCCTGCAGAGCCCAGTGGGAGCCTGGGACACCTCGGTGAGGGGTTGTGGTGGTGAGCAGGATTCCTGGGGGCTGGGTCTGCTGACAGACCCCCGTTGATGACAGCAAGTGTGCGTGCCCCTTACACTTGGTGAGCTACTAAGGTGTAAGGGAGGAAAAATTCTCCTCAGCCCTCTTTGAGTTCCCAGCTGGGCCTAAGAACTAAACTTTCATTAACAGGAGAAAAGCCTACAAGAATTATTAAAATTATTACATGTACATATGAGCCTTCACAAGAGAGTGAAGACCCAAACAGTTATCAGAGCAGAAAGCTTTTATATCTTTTAGACGAAGAAACAATAAATTTGTGAAGAATTGACAAGACAAAGGGGTTTGGGCTAGGAACAGTAAATTGTGGAGAAGGGTAAATTGTGGACTAGGAAGACAAGAATGAGCTGAACAAGGTTTGTTTGTACAGATTTCCCTGGGCCCCCCACCATCTGGTGGTGGGGTGTCCTCCTTCACCCTGGGACAGTGGGCACCTTTCCATGGGCGTTTAAGCCTGCTTTCAGGAACAAAAAGGAGGCTCTGAGTGCCCTGTGGCACCTGCTGTTTCTCAAATACCTTTAGGTCAAAACAATCAATGCTCAAAGCGGTGAGTTTAGGGCTGCCGTGCTCTGACCCCTTGGAGGCCTGACCACATCAGTGGCCATCCCCAGACCCCGTCCGTGTTGACCGTGGAGGCTCATGTCAGGTTTGCAGTGACAACAGCCCTGCTGCCCTGGCATTGGCTGACCAGACAAGGGAGTGTGGGGGCCATGGCCACTGCATGGCTCTCCCCTAGGTGGGGCCTCCTGGGGTATGCCCCTCAGCTGGCTTTTGTCCAGCTCCCCGGGGAGTCCCACTGTGTAGCCAAAGTGGGCATTATGTGAACTGAGCCAAGCTTGACAGGTGGGCGGTGCCTACGTTGCCCAGCAGGGGAGAACTTAGAGGGCCCAGGCCACTTGTCATGGGTAGTGCTGCTCTGGTTCCATCTGCAGAGGCGTGTTTCCAGAGAGCTCAGCGCAGGAGGGGGACCCTGGACTCCAGAGAGCTGCCCCCTACTCCTGTGGGTGCTCCATGCCTAACGTCCACGCCCCTTCCCTGAGGTCTTTCCTACCCCATAATCTGGGACTCACAGGACAGTTGCAAAGACAGTACAAAGAATTCCTGCATGCCCTTCACCCTGACTCCTTAAATGTACTGTCTCTGCTTTATCCTTCGTGTATGTGAGAGATTTGATTACATGATGCCATTTAATAAACAAGAAACGGGCAGGATGGGGTACCCTTAGGGAACTCCCTCATTCACTCCCTTCCATTGACAAAGCATCATTTCAACAGCTCGAGCAACTCAAGAGCGCCGCGGCCCCGGAACTCAGAGAGCCGGGGAGGACGCGAGGCGGGGCGGGGCCGGACCGGAGCAGGCCTACGCGCACGCGCGCACGCGCCGCCCCGCCCCTCGCCGCGTGTTTCCGGTCGCTGCTTTCCGCATCGCGGGGCTCGCGCGCCCGCCCCTGGCCGGAACCGGAAGTGGGCCCGGAGCCCGGAGGAGGAAGCAGGCGTCTGACCCGTCAGCAGCCGGCGGTCTCGAGGGGCGGCGGCCGCGCTGCTCGCTGCTGGCCGGTCCGTCGGCCGGGCGGGCGGGCGACCCGGGGTCGCGGCGCCATGAAGCTGTACAGCCTCAGCGTCCTCTTCAAAGGCGAGCCCAGGGTGCTGCTGCTCAAAGCCGCCTACGACGTGTCGTCCTTCAGCTTCTTCCAGAGGTCCAGGTGAGCGGCCCGCGGGGCCGGGGCCGGGGCCGGGGCCGGGGCCGGGGCCGCGGACGGCGCCCCGAGGCCGAGGCCGTTCGAGAAGCAGCCCCGAGCTCGGCGGTCTCCAGGTTCTGTCGTCAAGTAGTGACAAGGGGCCTCGGAGCTCGCAGGGGCCCAGGCTCCCCCCGGCGTTCGCGGCGAGTAGGTCGAGGCCCAGAAACGTGCGGTTGAACCAGGACCTCCCTCCCGGGCAGCGACCCTGCCAGCAGCCGGGGTGGGGCGTTCAGGCGACCCGGCAGCCCGCCAGGGCGCAGACCCGCGCTGTCCACGCCTCACGGCGGGGCTCGAGTGGTGCAGAGCGCTCTGCGCGGAAGCTGGAAGGGAGCGTGGGGTTTGTAGGGCTTCGAGCTCTTGAACGTTCCTGGGCACTTAATTGCAAGAAGTGGGTGTTAGAAATATCGCAGACGCTTCCAGCCCACGCGTGGGTGGGCTGGCGTGGCTCGGGCACAAGAGGACAAGGACCCTGCAGAGTCACGGCCTGGGGCCCCCAACTCCGGGTCCGGTGGAACCTGCCGTCGGGTCGCGGAGCCTGGGCGGCTTGCGTCGGCAGAGCTGTGTTGCTCTTAAGGGCAGCGGCCTGCCGGCAGGGTCTACAACTTCTGCTGTTTTGTTGGAAGTTTCTGCTGCTTTGGGGTTAGCCTGGAAGTGTCTTCTTGACACTCGGCTTTCTTTCTGTACCGCGACTGCATTCACGCTCCACGTTGCAGCTTCTCCGTGTCGGTGCCAGCTCGGCTCACTCCGAGCCTTTCTCCCTTCCCGTGTTTGCCAGACCCTGGGGTTCTGCTGTGGGACTCTTGCCTTACTGTTTGGGATCCCCGTGCCAATTCTTGATGATGACACAACGGCTGTCCTGTAGGGACCTTTCTACCAGTGTCTCTGGAAACAGCAGTACTGCTGCTGAGCTCTGTGTTTTTCTCGTAAGGTCCGGTCACTTCCGTGCTTCTTGCCTCATGCTCACCAGACCCCAAGCTTAAAACCTCCGGCCGGCTTTTCTGGGCCTGTAGGCAGCCTCCCACAGTGAATGCAGTCCTTCCTCTAATTCCAGTCCTGCTCTGTCTTCAGTTTCACTGCAAGGACTTCTCTAAGGGACTACAGTCATGTGTCACTTAACGATGGGGATTCGTTCTGAGAAATCTGTCATTAGGTGATTTTGTCGTTGTGCAAACATCACAGAGGCGCTCACACACCTGGACGGTAGAGCCTGCTGCACACCTGGGCTGGATGGTACAGCCCGTTGTTCCTAGGATACCAGCCTGTGCGACGTGTTAGTATAGTGAGCGTACCTGAACACCTCTAATCACAGACAAGGCACCATACAGATCCAGTGTACCAGACAGAAACGGGCACACCCGGTACAGGGTGCTTACCAGTGGACGTTGCTCTGGGTGAGTCAGTGGGGGGTTGGGGACAGGATGTGACGGCCTAGGACATACTGTGCACCACCAGAGACTTTTATAATGGTGGACACTTAGGCTACGCTATACTACATTTACTTAAAATTTTTTTTATTTTTTCAGTAAATTAACCTTAGCTTGTTCTAACTTTTTCATTTTATAAACATAACTTTTTAAAACTTTTTGACTCTTGTAGGAACACTTAAACACACACTGTATAGCTATAAAAAATATTTTCTTTATATCTTCATTCAATAAGCTTTCTTCTATAAAAATTGTTTTTTACTTTTAAACTTCTTTGTTAAAAACTAAGACAAACACACACATTGGCCTCGGCCTCTACAAGGTCAGGGTCGTCAGTGTCATTATCCCCAACTGCACTTCCTGTCCCACTGGAAGGTTTTGGGCAGTGACACGCGTGGAGCTGCCATCTCCCCGACCCCTGCCCTCTGGAACGCCTTTTGAAGGGCCGGCCTGGGCTCTCCTCGAGGGCGCGTCACTCTTCACAAATGTGTCCTTGGTAGTTTGCTCAGTTTCTCCCTCCCTTTCTCTCTCTCTCTTTCTTCAGAGATTTGCTTATAAGCAGATAAAGCACCATGAAACGCTGTGGTGTTGGATCCGTGCTTTCAAACTTGGAGGAGCTTGTTGAGACCTGCAAAAGTTTCTGCTAAGCCCGTCTCTGTAAATTCTCTTGGGCTTCTCCTTATGGGACCACTGCTGTGTGTGTGGCCCGTCGTCGGCCGAAACGGCGCATGTGGCCCATGACGAATCTTGCCCTCCTCTGGGCCTTCATACCCGCCGTTTCCCACTTCCTTGTCTTGGCTGAGCTGTTGCTCTGCATTCCTTGCAGGGCGCCCAGGGCTCGTGTCGTGGACGACCCAGCCTTCGCTGTGGCTGTCACAGTGCAGTGTTTGGAGTGTAGCTGCCGCCATAACTGGCTGTGCATCCGCCGAAGAGTTTTTGTCACGTGTGTTTTTCCAGTGCAGATTTTATTTGTCCTGCTTCTTGGAAGATAGTGGTGCCTTGAGGGCCAAGAGCTGGCTTCTGCTTTGTCACTGTGTCCCAAATCATACCCTGACCACAATGCTACGTTGACTCTAGCCTGTAGAAAACGCGAGAAGCTTGGGAGTGGGTGGCACGCACATGCGGTTTAAACGGCTGCGATGATTTATAATTACCTGTATCTCTGTTCATTTATAGAGCATTTGAGGGAAAAGATTGACACCAAGAAGCAGTCTCTTTAGCGTCTAAGCTCAGAGGTCACTTTGCATGTTGGGGACCAGGAGACGTGAGCAAGTAACATGTGTTGTTTTTCTTAGTGTTCAGGAATTCATGACCTTCACGAGTCAACTGATTGTGGAGCGCTCAGCGAAAGGCAGCAGAGCTTCTGTCAAAGAACAAGGTAAGAGGACCTGCCAGCCTGCCAGTGTGGGCCCAGCCACCACGCCTCAGGCTGCCTGGCTCTCCGCTCGAGCTGTTGCCGTGTGATGGGGGGGCTGCCAGGACCCCACTGCTTTGCCGGCTTGTTCTCTGCTCCCCATGTTTCCCATGTACACTGTTGGTGCCTGAAGCTGCCTGGTTCAAGCTCCGGCTCACTTATGATTAGGGTCTTGGAGCAATAGCGACCCACCCCCTAGAGCTGTAGACATCTCAGAAAAGGATTTCTAGCTGGCCCTGTTGAGGTAATGCTATTAGATTTTAACCAAGAACCTGAAAACACATTAGTTTTTCTTCATAATTCAGGTTTCCTATATGAGTTTTCAGGCATTTTTTTTAGAGGCGTCAATTATATAAACAGGGTGGGAAAGGTGTGTGCCAACTTTATCAGGTAGAAACACGGACCACTGCAGGTGTCACTGACCTGGGGTCACGTGACATGGAGGGACTGTGGCGATGACGTAAACACCTGTTACGATGCAGATGGTGTGGAATGTGTGTGTCCCGTGTGAGGGCCCTGTGCTGTCTACAGCCCAGCACCGAAATTGGTTTGTGGGTGTTTGGATGTGCTCTGTTGTCCTCACGCCGTGTCTGCCTTCAGTGTTGTCACTGAGACACTTGCTCAGATGCTGACTCGGCGCTCAGCCTCTGTGCTGCATGCACTTTGACCTCATGTCTGCATCACACTGAGGACAGTCTGAGCGGTCTCTGATGAGCTCCTGTCGCCCTCCTCAGCCCTGCTCTCGTGTCTGTGCCCTTTTCTGTCTCAGGCTCACGGCCTCCCTCCTCTTGAATCTGTTTAGCATCTGAACCTTCTGGGTAAGAGTCTTACGGGAAGGTTCTTATTCATCAGCAGTGATCCTTACGCTCATTTTACCTGGGGATCAGTTAGCGGTATCATCTCTGAATCCTTTTCAAGTGACAAAATTAATCCCGTGGGTTGTGAATATTTGGCAGAAGCCCTTGTATAGACTGTACTTTCTGATAATTTGATGACTTACAGTAGTATCAGAGACGCCACCCAGCAGTGGCTAGATTTTTCCTAGATGGGCCTCTGTCCCCTGTCCCTCTGTCCCCCTCCCAGAATGGAGTGGGCCAATCAGGGTTGCTGTAACAAGGAAGCCTGAGGCCCAGAGAGGTGACTTCCTGACTTGGGGCCACTCTTACAGGGCTTTGCTTGCCCATGGTCACCTTAGTTTGGGAGCAGAGCCTTGGTGGGCTGCTGTCCCCAACACCCTGCCGAGCCTGACTTGCAGCTCAGGGCCACTCGGAAATGCACCTGGGTACGGCTGACGGGGGGCTGGTGGTGTCTCCAGACCCTGACTTTGCACACTGGGCCTTGGGCACCTCCTGGTCCTCAGGCAGCTGTTGGGCCACGCTGGCGGCCTGCGTGCATTCCTTCGTCAGAGCTGCTCCTCAGGCCTCCTCACAGTGGCTTCATTGACCCACAAGGCAGGAACCCGGTGTCGTGATGCTCTGACTGATGTGGGGCTCGAAAAGTCCTCATGTCCCTCTCCGTGTGTCCCCTTAGAATATCTGTGCCATGTCTACGTACGAAATGACAGTCTTGCAGGAGTGGTCATTTCTGACAGTGAGTACCCGTCCCGAGTGGCTTTCACCTTGCTGGAGAAGGTGAGTCTGCAGTTTGGCTGGACTGGACTTGGATGGATGAGTGGACTGGGGACGGGGCGATGGCAGTACCTGAGGCAGAAGGCGTGTCTAAAATCAGCCCATTTTCAGCTTCCTCCTTGCCCTAAACTGAGACTGTCTGGCACCCTGCCCAGGCTCCCTCTGGGGCACTGACCTGTGCTCCTCTTCCCACCTGTGTGCAGGCTGGTGCCCCTGGTGCCACCTTGACTCTTCCCGTCTGCCACAGTCACTGCGTCTGTCCTCTGGGATGGGGCCCTCGGTCATTTGAGGCTGTGCTCTCGCCCCTGGTCACTCCTTCAGCTGCTGCCTTTCTGCCTTCACCTTCAGTCATGCCAATTTTTATTTCCTTCTGAACCACACAGACTCTAGCTCTGCCTTGGTGTCCTGCCTCCCCTTGGACAAGCCATGCCCCACACACCGGGTCCTCCCCGTTCTGTGCTTCTGTTCAAGGAGCCCCCTCTGGACGCATCCTGCAGTCCCAGGGGCCCCTCCCAGTGTGGGTCGGTGCCACCCCAGGCTTGGCAGCTCCATCTTTCCACGTGGTGTAACTGCCACCTGCTGGAGGTGCTAGCTGCACCTTGTCCCCACGGCCTGATACACTCACAAGCACATGGAGTCTCGTGGCTGCTGAAATCGAAGGGTCTCGCTTTTCTTTGGAAGAATGAGAGGGCTAGTACCCTTTCTCCTGTAAATTTGTAACCTGATAAAGTGGATTCTGATTTAAAATTCTGGTACTTTCCTCGTTTGCCAGCTGAGGTTCCCCTCCCCTGGGCACACTTCTAATTCCCGGAAACTTGGGAAAGGGCACTTGAGCCTAGGTATCCCCCTTGCCGTTAGCTGTCTGCCTCCGTCCTGGGCCCTGGCTGCCTTTGTCACGCTCCTCTGTCCTGCAGGTACTGGACGAATTCTCCAAGGAGGTCGACAGGACCGAGTGGCCCGTCGGCTCCCCTGCATCCATTCACTACACAGTCCTGGATGACTACCTTAGCACCTACCAGGTAGGGAGTCGGGAAGCCTTGTGGAGGGCAGGGTGGCCCAGAGCTCTGTGACATGGGGAATCCTGGCCTGACAGTTGCGGCTTTGGGTGACTTCCCGATGGCCTTGATGTCTGGGGACCTGTTCTCCAAGGCAGGCTGCTGCTCTGTTGTGTGTATCCAGGTCACTCAGCTCTCAGCTTTGTTTCCAGGTGGCCGCTGAGGTCCTAATGTCATTCGTTTTTTTTTTTAAGCTGAGCTATCCTGCCACCTGTTGACAGCTCAGGGCTGCTCATCTCGGGCCGGGAATTGAACCGCTGTTGCTCAGAGCTCAAACTCTTGAGCGAGCTCTTAACCAACTGAACCACTCAGCTGGCCCTCTGACGTTATTCTTATTTTTGGCTCTTTCCTAGAATCCCCGAGAAGCTGACCCGATGAGTAAAGTGCAGGCCGAGCTAGATGAGACCAAGATCATTCTGGTAAGCAAGAGCCCCAGAAATGAGGGGCCGAGAGGCTCGCTGGTGGTGACGCCTACGGCCAGTGCTGTTTCCATGGCAGTCAGAAGTGTGGTGCCTACTCTCCCCAGGGGCATCGGAGGCCTCAGAGCCAGAGCCTGTGGACGAAGGACGGAGCTGGGAACCAGCCCAGCCCTGTCCCCCTTCCCGCTCCCAGGGCACTTCCGGTTGGGACAGTCTGAGTTGTGGGGTTCTGCCCCCCACCCCTGGTACCCCCTTAGCTTGTCTCACCCAGCAGGCACCTCCCTGTGGACTCTGGGTGGCGGGCAGGCTGATGCACACCCCACTTTTAGTAAGTTCAGGGCTGGAGTTGTCAGGAACCACATGTGTATCTGAAATGTCCTGCTTTGTAACTGCTGCTTCAACTTTTTTTTTTTTTTTTTTAATTCTGCGCTATCTTTGGCACACGAGCAGCTTCTGTTTTCACCTCAGTTTGGTCCTTGTGGCCCCTGCCTCTCACTGGTCCCCTCACTTCCCACCCACCAGACCGTAGCCATCCAGCTGTCACGCTTCTGCTTAAAGCCCTTCGGCAGCTCTCGGAGTGAGCTCCAGGGGAAAGTGCAGCCCCGCCCCGGCCTCACGACCTCGTCCCCTCACGCACGCCTGCTCCTACCTGGCTCCTGGGCATGTGCCCCACACTCAGCACCTCCCGAGTGCTTGGAGGCTACACCAGGCCCTTGCGGGTGTCACTGCTTTGTCACTACTCATTGCTGCGTCTTCCTGACTCCCGTGTGGGCAAGTGTATCTTACATCCCTACCCAAACTGTGCCTCGCTAACACCAGGGTCTGGCAATGAATGGCCCCTATGCGACTGCTAGAAAGACCAGAAAAGGCGCCCAGAAAACCCCCACCCCACATATAAAGCTCTCCCCCAACACTGGCATGGCTTTCGTGCCCATCAGCGTCCCTGGCGCTGGATTTGGGCCTGGGCAGCACCTGGCAGCCTGTGTTCTGTGAAATGCCTCCGGGGGCTCTGTGCAAAGGCCTAGACCAGCTGCAGATAATGTGGTTGGGGATGAAAGTCGTCTGGCGTCTCTCTCTCCTTCGTCACCAAGCTTCTCTTCCTGCTGCTGGTTCAGAATCAGCGTGTGGGCCCCAGGGAGCGGGGACAGCACCCTTTCCTGCTGTCCAGGGGAGGGAGACGGGTCCTGGCCACTCTGCTCCATTCTGGCTGCAGTGGTGGAACCTGGGTGATTGGTCACACCTACTGCCATCCAGTCGGTACCCTCATCCAGCTGACTTCTCCGTGGCGATCTGGGTGATTTGGCCGTGTGGACGTCAGGGACTTCCCCTCTTCACTGTGCACACTCAGGTTCACGCACTCGCTCCGCTGGGGCTGTGGCGATGGGCGTGTGTGTGGGAGTGAGCTGCTGCTTCCCGGTAGCCCTAGCCGGGGTCTCTGTCCCTTTACCCATTCTGAGCGGCTGTGTGTGCTCACGCTCCCTGTGAGCATGCTGCTCTGGCAGAGTTTGTAGCAATGGCATTCAATATAGGTGCCCTTGGGGATGCGGACTGCACTCTGTGCATGGGGACAAAAGTGCTCTTCCTGGAGTGCAGATTTTTGTAGGAAACGCTGTTTCCCAGTAAGAAACTTCCAGGTTGCAGAAGAAAGTCACTAGGTCCCGTTGCAGCCACAAGTGGGACGCAGTGTGGGAGGCCCGGTGACTCTGGTGGCCGCACTGCCAGAGGGGCCAGTGTCGTTCACGCCAAGGCTTCCGTGTGTCTCTGTGCAGCACAGCACCATGGAGTCTCTGCTGGAGCGCGGTGAAAAGATTGACGACCTGGTGTCCAAGTCCGAGGTCCTGGGCATACACTCCAAGGCCTTCTACAAAACGGTGCGTACTGGCCCGCCGCCCCTCCACGCCTCACATCTGCCTTAGAATGTTCTGGAACTTTTGGTGAAGTCAGGGGCGCTGTTGGAGTGAAAGCAAGCAGAGGTTTTGTCCCGCTGCCTCCAGGGTCCCCACAGGAGGGCAGAGGCCCCTTCAGGTTCTGATCCTGGGGTTCACGGTCGTTCCTGCTGCCTGCCCAGCAGTGAGGCACGGCCTTCCTCGGGGTTCAGGCGCCCTGGCATGTGTCCCCTGCACAGCAGCCTGTCACTGTTCAGACAGTGGTGTCTGAGGGAGCTTGGTCTGTCCACACACCTGTGCTTTCGTGTGTGCCTTGGAGGGAGGGGGCTGGTGGGGTTGAGGCATCTGAACACAAAGCGAGAGCGAAGATAACAGCCCCATGAACCCACTCTGTTCTCTGAAGAAACACCACCAGGGACGGTCTGGTGGGGACGGGTGGGCCACGGAGGCCGGCAGCCAGCCTGACGTAGGTGCCTGTCTGTGCCTGGCTCCCTCCTGACCGCGCTGATGGGTATGCATGGGCTGGTGCTCCGTCCCCTTGGGTTCCAGTTTCTGTCCCACTTAGTGCTTGCGTCACATGGTGCCTTCCTTAGCTCCTCTCTGTCTCTTTCAAGGCCCGGAAACAAAACTCGTGCTGTGCGGTGATGTGACCGCCGCCAGCACAGGCCCCGCACTGCAGAGTCGCCGCCATTCCCGCGAGAACAGCAGCTCCCACCACAGAGAGACCCACAGAAAGACCCGCACAGGGGCCAGACTCATCCTTTACGTTGGCGCTTCTGGGAGGGGCCCAGGGCTGATGGAAGGGACCTGGGGGCGGGGAATGTTCAGTGTCACACATCTGGTCAGTTTTGAAAAGAAAATTGGAGGCCCCAAAGGTGTGTTTTTGCGCCAGGTGACACATAGACTCTTAGTGGGTCCTGCGGATGGTGACGGGCTTGTTTTGGGCCCTGCTGAGGCCCAGGCCCCTGGCTGCAGCCCTGCCGGTCAGCGCCAGCCCTCTGTTGTTCTCAGCAGCCTTTGGGTTTCCTTGTACATTGACCATGTTAACACTCCAGTGAATGGGGTGGTCCCAGTCCACAGGTTCGCCCGGGGCCACTGGGGGGGTGGGTAGGAACAAACAGGTCACCAGCCAGCGTTTCAGGGCCACGGCTGCGATGACCGTCACTGGGCTTCACAAAATTTGAGACGCGGTTTGCATTTCTGCTGAAATTGACTTCCACAAAGTTCCACCAAGATGCCTGGGAGGAATTTGGAGAGGCGGGGCACCTGCCCTGATGTGGAGTTTGAACGTCTGAATCACAGCTGTGTGCCTCGGGATGAGACATCGGCAACCACCTGGGGCCTGGCGTGTCTTAGCAAGTGGTCTTTCCCATGGCCACCGTTACTGGGCACCAAGAGTAGTTGCCAGCCGACCCAAGGACTTGCAGCCCCCCACTTGTGGTCTGAGCCAGCCTCCCCCGCCCAATCCCCAGTAAGAGCTGCCGAGTCCCCTCCCCCACCCTGCTGCAGGAGGCCCCACCCTGGAAACAGGTCCAGGAGGTTCCAGGCCCCTCTGATCCTTCCTGGTCCCTCGGGTCCTACTGCCACTTTCCAAACTGCCTCCTCGTGCCCGGCTGTACTGCCCGAGGACATACGCTCAAGATGCATCCTTGGGACTAGTCCCCAGGGAAGCACCTGCGGGGGTGATCTCGTCCTTGGGGGTCCTTCCCTGAGCATGCTGGCTCTTGCCACACCAGGATGGTCACACTGCCCCGACAGGAAGTGCCAGCAGCCCTGACTTCTGACTTCTCTTGCTTGGGCCAGGAGGTAGAGTCTGCACGGCTTCTGAGGCCCCTGCCACTCGCAAGTTGACCTGCAAGCCTCCCTTTGCCTCAGGGCACTGCTGACGGAAGGATGGCTTGCCCACGTGACTAGTGCCGCCCAGGCCCCCTCCCCCAAAGTGCAGACCCAGCCCACTCACTGGCACCGGAGATGGCGTGACCCACTTACAGAAGGGTCGTGCTCACTGTCCTGGTTTGCAGGGTGACAGGGAGGCACTGGGGGTGGGTAGGGGGAGTGCATTTGGGGAGTAGGCAGTGAGGGTGGGTGGGGCTGGCTCAGGGCCCATGGGGCATTTTCCATTCTAATGTTAAGTCTGGGCAGAGTTTTACTTCTGCCTAACTTTCTGTGTTGTTTGAGATTCCTCTGGATAAAGCTGTCTTAAAATTCCAAAATGGTCGTGTGCTCTGTTGGACGCCAGGGGGCCCTTTCCTCTGGGCCCTATTGCCTCTGTCCCCCAGACCTTCCAGAAGGAGCCTGGTGAGGGAGCTGGGGCTTGCGGGGGTGGCCTCGCAGGCTGGGGAGTCGGGCCGTTTAGGGAATGACTTCAGTCTGCCCATTAGAGGGGCTGCAAACACGTGGGAGCGTGTTTGTTGCTGGTCTAGCACCTGCTGTCACTGTGACTGCGGGAATCAGAAGCAGCTCTGCTGCCCAAAGCAGGTGTTACTTAAAAGTGGCCTGCCTGTGGCTTCTGGCCCTGCCTGGGGGGCCTGCCCCACGTGCCAGGATAAGCGATGTCCCACTTTGGCTCAGGCTGTGCAGGGGGGCTGCCCAGGGGAGGCCTGGCCCAGAGGCTCCTCTGATTACAGCCGATAGGCTTCTGTCCTAGATTCTCAGGGCCGCCTGGCGAAGCCCCCCCTCCTGCCTACACACCTGAGAATACCTGCCAAGTGCAGTCCCTGCGAAGGTGTCTGCCACCAGGGGCTGAGGCCGGAGGAGGCGGCCTACCTTATCAGTGTCTCGGACCTGTGGTGGGCGTGTCTGTCCCGGGAAAGCAGCGTGGGCCTGGAGCTGGCAGCGGGGCCTGGAGCTGGCAAGGGGAGGCCGCCATGTCCACGTGCCGCTGTGTCTGCAGGGCCACACCGTCTATCTGGGAGGCAGAGGGTCAGCAGGACACTGCCCTCGCCTGGTGGGGCCTGAGTGTGTGTGGCCATGTGATTAGATGGCCTTAGGGCCAGGTGGTCAGAGGTCACACAGCCATGTGGTCAGGCGGCTGCGTGGTCATGTAGCCATGCGGTCAGTGCTAACAGCCTGCACAGGCCAAGGGTGTTCCCGGCAGGCTTTGTGTCTGTGCCGTAGGCCACAGTGGGCAGCTGGGTGATGTGTCTCCCCTGAGGGACAGGCCAGGGGCAGAGCCCCAGGGCAAGAAAGGCCTAGGGGTCTCGCGGGAATGCTGTGCGGGGCAGCTGCAGAGGGAAGGCCTGATGGGGGCACCCTCTGCCCCTGTCCCCGGATCTCCCTTGGCCTCCCTGGAGCCTCTCCTGGCCCTGTGGTCATCGCCTCTCATGCCATCTTTGCATCCCAGCAGCCACCACTCTGTGTCTGACGTTGGTGTCTGACATCCGTGCTGGCCTGTGTGCTGTCTGCACAAGCCAGCATGTGGGCTCACGCGAGCAGGCCTGAGTGGGCACCACACGTCCCAAGCATCTGTGGTCTCTGGGTGGATGGGTGGAGGGACAGACAATAGGACACCTAGAACTGCCCTACCGGCTTCATCTTCAGAGGCCACTGTGGTGACTAGAGTTATTTGGGGGCATTGGGGTTGGGGGCTGGTTTCGGTTCCAGTGTCCAGGGCGACAGTGAACTCAGCCGGGGACCAGGAGGGCCACATGTGGGCAGCTGTTGGAGCGTGACCTGAGACTGCTGTCTGTCCCGACAGGCTCAGAAGGTCTGGACTTGGGCTTCGGCAGCCAGGCAGCTGGGGACCATGTGGCAGAGGGGCCTGGGTTGTGGGGTGGGTGGGGGTCCCGGCGTAAAGCAGCCAGCTGCACTTGAACCAGTTTGTCCTGTTTTTCTTTTATTCGCAGCTTCCCGAGACAGAACAAAATAATTTTTTGTACACTTACAAGGCTCAGAAAGAAAAGACAATGAAACTCAGCAAAAAGAGAGAGAAGGAACGGCCAGCCAGCACCGCGGGCAGTGACCCTCGGCAGGGTGGCCCGACCGGACATTTAGCTAGAAGAGCCGGTGTGGCTTGCTCGTGGGGGGTCATGCAAAAGAACTATCCCCCCGAAAAAAATCCCCAAATTAATCCAGACAGGCAGCTCTGTGGAGACGGCGGGAGAGGGAGAGGTGGGGAGGAGGCCCCAGGAAAAGAGGGTGGCCAGGCCACACACTGTCCGTGGCCAGCCCTGCTGCTCACTGCCCAAGGCCCAGGGAGCCTGGCAGATATTCACCCTGTGTCCTTGGGTGGGACAACTGTCCTGAGCACAGCTGTGGACGGCAGGTGAGTGTCCACTCGAGTGTCTGCTGATGGACAGTCCCCCCCGGAGATCAGCATCCCATGTCCTGTTCCCCCTCTGTGCGCCTCCCTCAGTTTGATTTGTGGGGAAGACAAAGAAAATCCCTGTTGAAAACAATGAACTGAAGAGGGCAGGTGTTGGGCTGGAGGGGCCCATACCTCTGTGACCGGGTCTGGTCCGACCTGCCCCCCACTACCACGCAGGGGGACCACCTCCTCCCCACCTCTGGGTCCCCTAGCACACACTGCCGCCTTCATGAGGCCTGGCGGGGTGGCCAGCTCTGCCCTGCCACCTTTCTGTTCCAGGCCCAGCACTGCCACTTGAGCCGACACAGGCCTGGACCCTTGCTGTGGCCTGGGGGCCGCGGAGCCACCCCTGCCTTCTGCCCCTCTTTCATGCGTCAGGACATCAGGACGGAGCCCTGGGGCCTCGAGCCCATGCTCCTTAGGGGGAAGGCCCCCCCGAGCAGGAGGGAGGCCAGCACAGGGATGTCCCCCCCGGCAGCTTGCCAGTCAAGCTAGTGTGCCCCTTGCAGCTCGGCAGGCCTGGGAAGGGCAGAGCTGGAGCCCTGGGCAGGCGGGGGCCTCTGCACTGCCATCCATGCTGGGAGGAGAGGAAGGGACAGAAGCAGGAGGGGACAGCTGTGCTCCCTGCCCAGGTGACACCTGACACTCCTGGCAACCAGCCACAGGCCTAGACAGCCGCCTGGGGGTGGGTGCCGTTGAACAAACAGGCCCTGAGGCCAGGAGCAGACAGACACGTGGACCTGGGGTGGGCAGTGGCCAGTCGGTTCGAAGCCTCACAAATGCCAGTCATTTTTACAGCTTTTTCCTTCGTTTAGTTTTTTTTTTCCATTTCATCCGACATGAATGTTTTTGTGTGGTTGTCACTGTCATCTTGTTTTTAAAAAGAAATCACATCCGGTCTTGGTTTTCTGCAGACACAGGCACCGGGGGAGGGACAAGGCGGACACAAACATGCGACAGGCAGGCCGCGCCCAGGGGCGTCTGGGCTCCCAACACTGCGTCCATCAGCTCTGAAAGGGGCGAGGGCGGCGGGTCAGCTCCCGAGTTGCGGCCCCACCGCCCCGCTGTGCAAGGTGTTACCGCGCTGCCCCGCCCCGCCCGCGGCGCTCACCGTCACTGCAGCGGGGCCACGGGCGCCCCCGAGCAGTGGAAGTGCACGTTCTGCCACTTGCCGTCCCGGCGGTGCCACACGCGGGTCTCCTCGGACTGGCTGGTGCGGGGCCGGCCCTGCCCGTCGATGTACTGCGTGAGGCGGATGTAGGCGATGCAAGCGGCGTCCTCGCCGATGACATGCACGTGTGGGTTCAGGATGGTCGTGTGGATGGGCTTGCTGTTTCTGGCGAGCACTGCGGGCGGCGGGACGTGGCTATTGCTTCGGCCCCGGGCCCCGCCGCCGCCCAGCACCCCCCAGCCTGGGCTCCCGCACTCACGGTTCTCAAAGTAGAACCTGTGGAAGTCCATCCCTTCGACCAGGTTGCCCAAAGCTTCGGGCTCGAACGAGGTCAGGCCTGGGTCGCAGATTTTCCTGGGGGCAGACCCACGTGAGGAGGGCCCTCCGAACCCACCCGAGGGGCCCGGCTGTGCAGCCTCTTTCATTCCCCCTCCCTACAGGACGCTGACAACACTGCGCGTGTGACCCCCAGCCCACCCCAGGCTGCCCCGACTCACGCGTAGGCCTCGAAGTCGCCGTTGTTGACGGCCTCGATGAGCTGCTCCGTTATCTTGATGATGTCCTGCTTGCGAGCTGCAGGAGGACAGGCCATGACCCAGGGCCTGGCCCCCACCCACCTCTCCTCTCCAGGGGCCTGAGGCCCTGGTCCCTGCACCCCAGCTGTCTTCAATAAAACCTCTCTAAATGAGAACTATTCCATCCACAAAAGAAAATGTCCAGAAAACGCAGAAACGGGAAACGGAACCTGTCATGACCCCCCTGGAGGCCCCAGACCCCGGAAGCGCCCTCACCAGCCTTCCTGAGTCCCCTCTCTCCTAAGGGGGTGGTGGGGACCCGCAGGGCCCAGGCAGAGTGGAGAGTGGAGTCTGAGCGTCACCTCTCTCTCCCTGGAAGCCGCAGCCCACTTGCTGGCCCCGCCTCCTCTGGTCACCACCGTGTGCAGTCCTGGGCCCACTTCCAGCCGGGCGCACTGCCCGTCCATCCTGCACCCTCCACCCCGTCGTCCTCTGGGCTCCTGCCCACTGGCCTCTGCTCCCTACACAGGGTGGCCACCTGGGGCCCCTTTGTCTCTCTAATTACAATTTATTTTCATGCAAAACTTTTAAACCTGTAGGCAGCTGGGCAGATGCTGCGGCCCACGCCCAGGCGTCAAATCTGGCTGCTTTCTCATTTGCTCTGGGCGTTCTTTAGAGAAACAAGCCACAGGCAGTTGCTGATGCCTGGGCCTCGCGTCACCGCTTCCCCGTCTTCTTTGTCCCTTACTCTCCCCCTCTAGAGAAATACCGTCTTGGTTTAGGTGCTTAACCACTTCCGCGCAGATACAGACACACCGGGATGCACGCGTGTGTGCATGCAGGCTCACACACACATCATGGTGATTTCTTAAAGCAATAACATGCCACTGGTAAACCCAGACCCAAGAAGTGCCCTAAAAACAGGGTCCCAGGACCGCTCTCCCTGTCCCCTAGGTCACGGCCACACCGGCTGTGTGTGTCTGTGCACACATGCCCCCATCCCCCAGCAGCACATCGGCGCCACCGGCTGCCCTGTGGGACGGTGGCCGCAGGTGCCCACTGCAGCTTCCGCGCTGCCGGGAAGGGCTCCCAGTGAGCTAATCTGTGGGCTCACCCCCAGCAGCTCTAAAGGGGCACTCTGGTCCCTGTGTGGGGCTGCCCGGCACCTCCCACCAGCTGTCTGGGGGTTCTTTCTCCCAGGCGCCCACCTGGGAGGTGGGCTGCGTGTGAGCCCAGGCGTGTCTGTGCGTGTGCTGCGGGGACTCTGGATGGTGCAGGGAGGAGGCACCCCACAGCACCTGAGGGGATGGGTACATGCAGTGCTTGTGTCACGTGGGGGTGGGCACGTGTGTGTGCATCGACCTGCACACACGCGTGGGACCTGTCTTGACAAGACCCTCCCTTGTGCTGCTCTCATTACAGCTGAACTTTGTGCCTGGACCTTGCATGGTGTCGGTTTGGGGCTGTCTGCAGAAACCCAGGCCCCGAGTCTGGATGGGCCTGGACACTGGACCCCAGCAGGGCGGCGTCTGCCACCTTAGGTCCCACACTGACCGTCACAGTGCCCTGCCCCAGAGCTGGCCCAGCTTGGGTGGCTCCATTCGCACATCCCTCTGTTCTCTGGTACCTCATTCTGCCCCTCCCGGTTCATTCGCCTGTCACCTTCATGGAGGTGGCTTCAAGCTTCAGGCTTCTCCACCAGACGCCGCCCCCAGGGCAAACGAGGCCACTGTCTTGCCCCAGTGACCAGCGCCCCCACTGCCCATCCATCTTCCTTCCTCTCCAACTGCGAGCTGCCCCCACCTCCCAGGAGCACTCAGCCCACAGCCGTGCCGCAGCGCTGAGTGACACTTTCTCTGTGTTGTTTCCAGCGTGCGCTGGCTTTACAGTCACCCTCGACCGTGGTAACTGAACCTAATGTTCCATTTACAGGCGAAATTCTGAGTGTTTATAAATGAATTCTAATTGAAAATGGGAGTCAGTATAAAGAGAAAGTGTTAAGTAAACCCAAGGGCAATCTGTGGTCACAGCACAAATCTCAAGCTTCATGTTTGGGACACAGCTGCAGCCCCACCGGGACAGACGTCCCAGAGGCGATGGGAGGTGGGTGACGCCACTCCCGACCTGCTGGCAGTCCTGCCTCCCAGAGGTGAATAGGAGCCCCACTGCCCTCGGCTCTCTTGGGCCAAGTTGATAGGCCGTGAGGCCCAGCCATTGGCAAAGGTTCCTGGGGGACCCCAGTGACCCCAGTGACCCTTTGCTGGCCCCAAGCCCTGTTCCTTGGAAGGTGCAGGGGCGCCAGGAGCCCTCCAGCCACCCCAGGCAGACAGCCGGATCAGGCTGCATTGTGTGTAATCCCCGATTATGGAGAACACACAGACAGCTGGCAGGCACAATCGTGAGAAAGACGGAGGCCCATGGCCTCCCCTGGGGGTACCCCTGTGGCCTGGCCCCCCAGTTGGAGAGGGCGGCGCTCTGGTCCTGGGACTCCCCTGCTCAGACCCATTGAGTGCCCACTTTCAACCCCAGGCAGCCCCTCAGAAGTCCCTTCTCCAGGCTGAGTCCATCCCCCTTCCTTCACCTGTGGACCCCTCAATACTCAAGGAGCTGGGATGCTGGAGATTCGGGTTGGGGCACATCCAGGAGCAAGGACCCCACTCCTGAGGGAGTCTGGTTGGGGCCGCCCCCTGCCATCTGCACCCCAACGCCCCTCCCTACCCTACCCCTGCAGGCCAGGCCACATCTGCCAGCTCCAGGCCACCAGGCCCCCCTCCATTTCATCCTGATCACCAGCCGGTCTTGTGGCCTCCACCCCCCTAGTCTAGCTCACAGCAGACCTGTACTGCGGCCCCCCAGGAAAGGCCTCATCCTCAGGTACCCCCACCCAGGCTGCTGTGCAAACCCCTGCCCCTCCAGGTCTCTAAGCCCCAGGCTGTGAGGGTCTGGGGGATGGGGACACAGAGAACTCTAAACCCGGGTAAAACGCTGCACGGACGGGGGTTCCCACCACAGCACGGCCCCGTTTCCATCACCAACCACTCTGGTCTCACCCACAATTCAATCCCCTCAGCAAAGCTGGGGGTCCAGCGGCCCTCACGCTGGCCCTCGCCCCTTAGGCAGAGCAAGGCCACCCCCTCCACTCCCTCCGGGCCTTTAACCGGCAGCCGCAGACCCTCCGTCCCGCAGGCTCCCGCGGCCTCGCCCCCTCCTCCTGCCCCGGCCCCCAGGCCTGGCCCCACGGGCGTGGGGGGGGTCAGCACTCACCCAGCCACTCCCCTGCCATGCCCGGGCCCCGGCCCCGCAGCCTCCCGTCTGAGAGCCCGGCGTCTCCCGGGAGGTGGGGGCGGCTGCGGCCCCGGGGTGTCATCCATCCCTGTAAGCGATACGGCTCCGGGCAGCGCTGGAGCGCCCCGCCCCCACCCGCGCGCAGCCGTCCAGGGGCGAGGACCCACCCTGGCTCTGTTCTGACACACAGGCGTCCACACCCACGTCTGTAGCCACCAACTTCCTTCTCCGAAGGCAAGGGGGAATGTGGGGAGACCCTTCCAGCGTCCCCCAGCTGTTCCCTTTCCGGAGGGAGGGGCAGTGCACCGCAGCGGGGGGTCTAGACCCCACCAGGAACAGCAGCGGGGGCCACTCAAGGTGCTACTTACACGGGGCAGGTGGGGGGCCTGGGAGAACCGGAGACGGGCAGGGTGGGGGGCCCTGGGCTTCTGGGGTCCCCGAGCCCCTCCTCACCGTGTTCAGGATGTCAGAGATCCTGGGGGCTGGGGTGGAACAGAACAGGCATGAACACGAGGGTACGGGAGACACAGGAGAGAAACCTATGTGTTGACCAGCCGAGCAAGCGGGTAGTCCACAGAGGAGTCATGAGGAGACTTGGGGGGACAGAGGGGGTCGTGAGGGGACATGGGGGTTTGGGGGAATGTGGGGAGACAGGGGCTCATGGGGGGATGGAGAAAGAACAGAGGGAGTCATGGGGGTTTTGGGGGGGACACTGTGGATGTGTGGAGACGGGGGGGTCATGGGGAGACAGAGCGGATGACGGGAGTCCTTGGGGTTGTGGGAGACAGAGGGGTCATGGGGTTTGGGGGGAGACTGGGAGTCATGGGAGGGGGCAGAGAAGACGTGGGGGTGGAAAGCTGCTGTGAGAGAGTGTGCCCGTGAAGCAGACAGGGATACGGATGTGTCCGCGGCTCCCTGGGGCCCTGGGGGAGGCTCAGGGTGTGGGGCCCACGTGAGGTCAGTGTGACTGGAGACCGCCTGAGGGAGGCAGGGTGGACAGGCCCACGGCCTCAGACTGCCTGGGGCCTGGGGGATCCTCTGGGGAGGGGCCTGGGGCTGGACAGCAGTGCGGGTGGGGGGTGGGAAGAGGGGTGAGTCATGGGGGGTTGGCTGCAGTTAGGCTGTCCGACACTTAAGCCAGGCTTTGGGGGGCCTGAGGACAGCTGAGGCCGTGCAGGGCAGGGCGCAGGGAGCAGCTTCACAGCAGAGGCTGCAGGCCTGGGGAGCTACTTACATGGGGCAAGTGGGGGGCCCTCGGCTTCTGGGGTCCCCGAGCCCCTCCTCCCAGAGCTCAGGATGTCAGAGGTCCTGGGGGCTGGGACAGGAAGCAGACAGATGAGGTGACAGAGGAGGCTGTTGTCTCCCACCCCTGGGGCCTGTCTCAATAGCTGGAGGCCCCTTGAGACAGTGAGGCTGGAGCCAGTGGACACGGCCCACGTGGAGGGCGACTCCCAGGGGCAGCAGCTCCAGTCCAGCCATCCCGTGAGGCTGCAGGTCCTTCAAGGAGACCCTCGCAGCAGAAGGGGCCCGGCTACTTACATGGGGTGGGCAGGGGACTAGTGGGAGCCAGAGATGGGCAGGGCGGGGGGCCCTCGGCTTCCGGGGTTCCCGAGCCCCTCCTCACAGAGCTCAGGGTGTCAGGGATCTTGGGGGCTGGGTGGACAGACGAGACGTGAACAGGATGCAGGCGAGGGGTGTGCAGAAGACAAGTGGGCAGGAGAAAGATGAGGTGAGGGTTAAGCTGGAGAACCCCAGACCAGTGACACAGCTCATGGCTGCCCCAAGACCACACAGTGGGGTCTGGGGGCTCCTGGGGGCTGTCCAATCACAGCAGATGTGTGAGGCCAACCCAGAACCATGTGCAGGGCTAGACGGGTGGGAGGGCTGTGTGTACCTGCCGGCCATCGGAGGTTAGGCCTGAGCCCTCAGGGGCTTCTCTGCGTGCGAGGCGGAGACCCAGGGCCTGCCCTGCCTCAACAGCGCCACCAGGCGTCTTCCCGCCGGCTCCCAGACACGTGGGCCGGGGCCAGGTTTGGGAGAGGCTGGCAGGCTGGCCCTCTCCCCCACCCTCCTGCAGGCTCCTGCATCTGCGGCCCCCACATGGCTGGGGGGGGGGGCCGAGCCTCTGTGCTGATGGCTTGGGCCTGTTCCAAGCTGTTTGGGGGACCATGTGTGTCCAGCGGCCAGAGCCTTATGCTCACGTCCACTCTAGGGTGTGGGGGGTGCTCAGGCAGGGTGGGCCTGGCCTTCGCCCCCCCCCAAACTGGCAGAGTAGCTGGCTGTGGTGCCCTAGGCAGCCCTGAGGACGCTTGTGTGTGATCAGAGTCCCACGTGGGCTGGGCGTATGGGTGCCAAGTTCCCTCACTTGAGTCCGAGAAAGCCGAGGGCAGAAGAGGGGCCGTTGTGGTGGCCACCTGGGGCCCATCTGGGCAAGGCCACTGGCCGAGCTCCGCGTGGGAGCCTGAAGTGTGGACAGGGCTCTCTGCGCCCCGCCCTCCCACAGTGAGGCTGCCGAAATGCCCCCCCCCTTGCTGCCTGTCCATTCATCAACTGCCAGTCAGGCAGAGTCAAAAGCTTAAGGAACTTTAAGAAACTGAACAAATTCAGACACCAACTCATTCCCCTGTGGGAGCGGGGCCCCGGAGCGAGCTGGGGACGGTGCAGAGGTCGCAGGGTGGTGGCTTCCTCGCAGGTCAGGCCGCAGCCCGGTGGGACTGCAGCTCTGGCCATGGTCAGCCCCAGTGGACACATCCCAGTCACAGGCTCCAACAAGGGACCCCGCCCACTGCTGGCCCACCCCCTGCCTGCCTCCGCCAGGAGCACGCATGGTACCTTTTGTGTCCTCGTCCTCTATGGTGGTGTGGGTGCTGTCGGATGACTCCTGGGGAGACACAGGGAGGCAGCAGGTAAGCACGTGGCCTCTGTCTCGGCCGCCCCCACGGGGCTTGGTGCTCAGGGGCCCAGGGGCGCCCCCTCCCGCAGAGAAGCACAGGCACACTGAGCTTCACATGGCCTCAGGGGTCTCCCATCCCCAGGGTTGGGCTGCCCACATCCCCAGGGCCGGCAGCCCCACCTAGTCCTCGAAGCAGGATGCACCCAGTGGGAGGCCTCCTGAGCGCAGGTGCCTCTCCAACAGGAGAGGAAACCAGGCCTCGGAAATGTCAAGGCTCCCAGGGAAGCAGGAAGGGACCCTCAGCCTGTGCTCCCAGCTCATCCTCAGGAGCCCCGGCTGCCCAGGCTGCACCCACAGCGCCTTCCCACGAAGGGCCGCCCGCCCCTCCCAGCCAGGCCTGGCCTCTCCTCTCCAGTGGCCTTGGAGGGCCCAGACGCAGCCCCAGGACCTCCCACCCCTCTCAGGGCTTGCTGCTCTTCAGATAAAAAGCCAGGTGCCAACCACCTGTCACTGAGTTCCCAGGAAGCCTGCTTGCTCCTCAGAAGGAATATCTTAACAGGGTCCCCGAGGGACGCCCTCACAGGACGCACTGCTCCAGGCCCTGGGCCAGAAAAGGGGGTTCTGTAGGCTGTGGGACCAGAGCTCACACCACAGCCACCGAAGGTTGTCTGGAGGCCCTTGTCGGGAACACAGGACCCTGACCCCAGGCTCAGGGTCCAGGGAACACCCATCCCCAGCAGGCCGTGAGGCGGGGGGCGCTCAGGCCCCTGCGGCACCTTGGCTCTGGGTCAGCTGAGAGGCAGTGGCCGCGGCCCCCTGGTCCCAGCCTTTTGAGGAGCCCAGGCCCGGAGGCGGGGGTGGGGGGGTG